CAGAGTAGGTGAATCCATTGAGACCAAAAGTAGATTAAAGGTTGCTTGGGGCTTGAAGGGAGGGGTTGGAGGGTGTGGGCTAATGGATACAGGGTGGGGGGGCCAGTTTCTTCTTGAGGAGATGAAGTTTCTAAAATCCACTCTGGTGACAGGTTGCCACCTGAAGATACTGAAAGCCACCAATCCCGCATTTTAAATGTGTGAGTTGTATAGCAGGCGGATTACCAAGATAGCTGTTACAGAAAACAAAAACAAAATCTGGAAGGGAGGTTCATAAAATGAGCTTAAAAGCCTAGGGACAGGTTTTTGAATTTTAACGTATGATAGCGTTTTAAGCCAAGGCTGACTTCCGGATCGTTTATCCCGTGTGTGCGAGAGGACCCTGAGGCACCGCTGAGCTCCTGCCACAGGCTTGCTTGAACGTGAAGCTCTGTCTGTCCAGGTGGGTCGGAGGGCGTTCAGAGACCCGGGCCGGGTGGGAGCTGGACACGCTGGGTGGGGGCTGTGTCCCGAGCACAGAGCAGGGCAGGGGCAGCTTTGCTCCAGTTCCCGGGGAAGGCGGTGACCTCCCATTGGCAGCCTGACCCCAAACGGAAACCTGGATGCTGCCCTGGCTGGGCTGGCGTCCTCTTCCCATGACGGAGGTCGTCAGACGCCCTTTCCCTCTTCCACGCAGCCTCCAGCTCCCCTCCCCGCTGCCCCACTCTGCAGAGGAGCCTCTGCCGACCTGTCCACCTCCCTGTCCTTCCTTCGCCCCTGCCCACTCCGACCCGCCTGTCCTTTCCTGAGATCAGGAAGTGGGAGCAGGAGGGAAGAAAGGGACCACGTCCTGGCAAGTTCTCTGGCCCTGCACTGGTTCCAGGTCCACATCCCACCACTGGCCTGGCAGCTGACAGGGCCACCAGGCCCTTCGGTCCCATTTTGCAGGGGAGGACACTGAGAATGGGACAGGGAGAGTGCCCACTGAGCCAGGTCAGCATCCTCAGGCTTCCCGGCAGGAAGGAAACACCAGGCTCACGGCCAAGCACAGAAGACGCCTTTATTGGTGCACACGTGTGAAGGACAAAATGGGCTGGCGTGGAGAGGACATCAAAGGTGACCGTCCTTCTCCTCTTCCTGCTCAATGGGTCAGCCTCACCCCTTCCAGCAGAGGGGCTACGGCTCCAGACTCAACGCCCACAGCCCAGGGCAGAGGCAGGTCCTGAGCCGGGTCGCATGTTCACCTCTGGGGCCAACAGTGGAGGCAGTGGTGGGGGCCTGGCGTCCAGGGACGAGTGGGCCCTCAAAGCAGCACCCAGAAATCCTCTGCGGGCAACCCCCCAACCCACATCTGGCTTGGCAGAATCGGCTAAGGCACGGTGGCTGGGCCATGTCCTGTTGCAGGAGACAGAGCTGTGCTGGGGACCTACCCTGACAGAACACAGCTACTTTTTCCGCCAGGGGGTCCGGGAACCACTGCTGCAGTTGTCGGGGGCTGGGGTACCCTGTTCACAGGCAGCTCCCAAGTCCTTCTTGGGGGCTTGCCTCTGCTTCTCCCCCCTGGCCGGCCGGGAGGACTGGAAAGACCAGGGGGCCGGCAGGGCCTGCACAATTCGGACAGCCCCCGCAGCCACGAGGAGCCCCCAGAGCAGGGTGGGAGCCTCCAGGGGTGACAGCTGAGTCCGCACCCAGTGGAGGGCCCAAGCCAAGGTGCTGTTGGAGCTGCGGGCCCGGGGTGGGCTCTTGTCCTGTGAGGACAATATCGAGGGAGGCCCACAGGGATCGCCCCTGTGGCAGGGGTCAGCCCTGCCACCTCCCCCATCCTGACCAACACCCCCTTACCTGCAGCCCAAACTGCCTGAGCAGCGTCTCCAGCGTTGGGTCCCCCAGGGACACAGGTGGGAAGAATTCTTCCACCCACTGTCGCCTCCACCACCGGCTGCAACAGGACAGGATGTTTAGTGCAGGGCCAGAGCCCAGGCCCCAGCACCCCACCCGGCGCCCCTGCCTTACCCCTGCTCCCCGGGCTGGGAGAACCAGTACTTGTAGCGCTGGGCCCGAATGTAGGTGGGCGGCTGCTTGTGGAAGGGGTACCTGGCCACATGGCTCTGGAGGAGGCGGATCACTGTGGCGGAGGAGGGGCTCAGCATGGCCCCACCCTGGCCCCATGCACCCGGCTCCCCACACCCCCCACCACACCTCACCTGGCTCTTTGCCCTGCAGCAGGCGCAAGACCAGGCCGGTGAACCAGGGGCTGTGTGTGTGCGGGCCCAGGGCGGCAAACCACATCTGCCAGTCGAGGCGCGGCTGGTGAGGCACCACGACAGGGGGTGACCGGCTCACGTTCCCCGGCTTATACATGAACTCGATTTCCTGCCAGACGGAGCCACAGTCAGCTGGGCCAGCCTGACCCGTGCCTGCCAGCTCCCACCGGTGGGAGGCCTCACCGTCCAGTGGTGCCCGTCGTAGCTGCCCTCCAGCACCACCTCGGGCCGCCCGCCCAGGCCGGTCATCCGGCGGAAGAGGCCGTATGAGTTGGCCAGCTGCAGGTGCTCCACGGCGCCAAACAGGCGGTGGGCCCCGGTCCAGAGGCGCCCGTGGGTCCCCGGCTCCACGTAGGAGTATGGCACCTAGCGGCAGGCGGGCAGAGGCTCAGTGCTGCTGCTGCAGCCCCCTCCCAACCTCGCCCCCCGCAGCACTACCCACCAGGCTGATCACAAACAAGGACACCGTGGCGGTGCCAAGGACGGACAGCTGGACTGCAGCACTGAGCTTCCGAAGCCATCCCCGCACCTGGGTCCACCTGGGGCAGGGACCCAGGTGTGGTCAGGCCCACCTTGAACACCTCTCTCCCTCCCCCCTTCTTGGGCCACGTACCTCCAGATGGCAGCCAGCAGCTCCCAGGTGAGGGAGGCCACACCCAGCCACACAGTGGGCAGGGTCACTGTCTTTAGCCACTGGGAGAACTGGTGGAAGGTGAAGGCTGCCGAAGGAGGGGGTGTAAGAAGGGGTGGCACGGCCCCTCCCCTCTGGCTCCCCAGCTGGTACTCACTGGTTCTGGAGTGGATGGTGCGTTGCTGCCAGTCGACCTCCAGGCCAAAGCAGTACACAGTGCCACAGGCCAGCAGCCCGTAGATGGCCAGCTCCAGCAGCAGGGACAGCGAGCCCAGCAGGGCCTTGGGCCAGGCTGTGGAGCAGGGCAGCAGTGGCTCTGCGGAGGGTCCACAGCCAGGGGGCTGGGATGGAGCTAGAGTGGGGGTCATGTGGGGGGTGCTGGGGGGACAAAGACACCCTGGGAGGGGATGGGGCCGAGGATGGCTGGCTGCCCAGGACAGGCTGAAACTCACAGGTGGGCATCTTCTTGCGGTGACCATGGCCAGGCTGAGCAGCCAGGTGCTGGTCGTCCAGGAGGGCGGTGGTGAGCACCAGCGTCAGCAGGTTGAAGAAGTTATAGTTGCCAGTGATGATGATGAGGACTTGCAACAGCACCTGCAGAGGACCCGCACTCTGTGCTCAGGCCACCTACCCTGGGCCCTGCTGCCCAGAGATGGATGTCCTCCAACCTGACAGGGCGCACCCCTCTGCCCACCAGGCCTTCCCGATAGCAGCTGCCACCTGTCCCCAGCGAGACACACTGCCCAGTGCTGAAGGAGGCCACGCCCTATCTGTCCGATAGCTGAGGCCCCACTCACCTGGGAGTAAAAGGCAGCCAAGCGCAGGCGGCGAACGGGGGCGAAGAATAGAGGGGGCACGGCGATCTCGATGAGGAAGGTGGCCACCACGCTGAGCTTGTGCAGCCAGACAGGTAGGTGGTGGGCCAGCCAGGCGGCAGGTGTGGGCAGGCACTGAGTCTCGTAGTGGTAGGTGAGGGCTGCAGGTAATGGGCAGGTGGATCAGGGCTGGGCAGAGCCCCCAGACCACCCCAGGTCCAGGCTGGGACCCTCACCAGTGAGCCCCCACCACGCGGGGCAGCGGCTGGTCAGCTTGACCACGCCTGAGGCGAACATGAGGCGGAACAGCAGCCAGCGCACGAGCCAGAAGGGGAGGGCTTCGTGGGGCAAGGCCCCTGCTGGCCCACCCTGGGGGGCCTGCTTGCCCTGTGGGGGCTGCCTCAGTGGGGCCACCAGCACAGCCAGGAAACCAGTCTCCAGCAGCAAGGAGTCCCTGCAGGGAGAGGAAGTAGGGCAGAGTCCCCTCCCCACCAAGGCTGCTTCCTTCAGAGGGTCCTCCCCCAAGAAGCAAACACCCCCCACCCCACCCACCTCCTGTGGCCCCACACCCAGCAGTCACTCACCACTGGAAGTAAAGGAACACCTGGCCCACCTGTAGGGAGACTGGCTGTCAGGGAGCAGGAGTGTGTGTCTGCAGAGCCAGGTAAGGCAGAGGCAGGGGTGTGGGCTGGGGGGGCTGGAGTGAGCTGGGGACAGGGGTCCCAGTGATGTGTGGGGGCAGCAGGCAGCCCCACTTGCCTGGCAGGCCGATAGGTAGGCGGCCCAGAGCAGCAGGTAGACGAGGGGGTGGCGCAGCGGGCGCAGCAGCAAGGCGCCCAGCGCCAGCAGCGCACCCAGCAGGCTCAGCAGCTCCAGGCCCTGCGCGGTGTCCAGCCCCAGCCGCGGGGCTTCCCACAGCAGCGTGGGCGTCTCCCACAGCTGCTGCCAGCGCCCCTTGCCCTGCGGCCGCAGCGTCCTCCGTGCGGGTAGGATGCCCTCCGGGCCATAGAGGCCTGTGGGAGGGCACGTCAGCGCCAGGTCCTGGACACCCCCAGCCTAGGTCAGGGCATACGGCCCTTCCAGGATGTCTGGCCAGGTGAGAACCTGTTGACACCCCGTCCCCCGGGCCAGAAGGCCCGCCCAGCTTCCTAGGTCGGGACCTCCCACGCCCCTCTGCTCCAGGTGAGCCCGTCTCCTGCCGGCCCGCCAGATCTGGGGAAGCCCCGCCCCCGCCCTGGTCAGACCCGAGCCCTGCGGGAAACGCACCAATGCACGCCGCTGACCCCACCCCCGCGGGACCCAGCCGCCGCCCCCGGCCCCGCGGGTTAGGCCGGGCCCCCACTGCCCCCGCGACGGCGTGAGCGCGGGGCGCAGAGAGGACGCGGCTTCCCCCGCGCGCTGGGGTGCCCCGCCCTGGGCGCCCTCACCCGGGATCTGCGTGTACAGTGAAGCAAAGGCGAACATGAAGACGGCGGCCACGCCCTGGAGGAAGAGCTGCCGCGGGAGCCTGGAGCCCGCCATGTCCGCTACGCGGCCGGCTGGAGCAGAGCCCGCGGGTCCAACTGCCCCGCCCCGGCCGCCCAAACCCCGCCCGCGGCCGCCCGAGCCCCGCCCCTGCAGCCCGAGTCCCGCCCACCCGCGGTAGCTCAAAGTCCCACCCCTCCAAACCCACCCACCGCCCGCCGGGCCCCCTCCCACGGCAGGCCAAGCCCGCCCTTCCGGCCCCGCCCCCAGCGCGCACCGTGGCTTTTCCGGTCCGCTCCCGCCGAGAGGCGCCGAGGTTCAGTCCTCAAGGCCTCGGCTCGTGTTACGTCATAGATATGCGCGCGTCGCTGCTCTGCGTACTTTCCTGGGCGGGAACAGCAAAATGGCGCCAGAACTAGTGGCGGGTTGAGAGTACCGCATTCCTCGGAAGCCGGTCCTGCGGTCCTCTTGCCGCCCGGCCCCTCCCGGACATGGAGGACGTGGAGGCGCGCTTTGCCCACCTCTTGCAGCCCATCCGCGACCTCACCAAGAACTGGGAGGTGGACGTGGCGGCCCAGCTGGGCGAGTATCTGGAGGAGGTGAGGGCGGCGGGGAGTGGTGCGGGGCGGGCGCTCTGGGCCGGGGGCCGCCTCCTCGGCTGTGGCCATCTGGCACTCTGGCCGCGCTGGTCCTCAGACTCGCTTCTTTTCCGATTCCACGCTGCCTCCCGGAATCGTTTCTCGGTAGGTTAGCCCGGAGCTGTCATTGCACGTCTCTACCCGTTAGTGATCCGTGAAATCGATTTAGTGGATGGTGACCAGCATTTTTCTCCAATGTAATGGAATAGACTAGAAAGGGTTATCATCTTTGTTTCAGTTATAGCGTGCATGTTTGTGTGTTTGAAAGCTCAGGATTACCATGTAAGAGGGATTTCTTATCTGGGGTGTTCAAACCAGTTTCAAGCTACTGCCGTGTCTCGTCCTGTCAGCATTTAGTCTTCCACGTTTGACAGCCCCGCTTAGACCTCTGTTAAGGAGCTGTCTACTCCATCTCTGCGCTTCATTTTCACTCCGCAGCCCGGTGCAATCTGGCTTCCACTGCACTTAAATGTCTCTTGTCTTGATCAACAGTGACCTCATCCTACTAAATCCGAGGGACAATAGTGTCATCTTATTCAACTCAGCAGCATTTATTGGATTGGCCACTCCCTCTTTTTTGAAACAATGGTGGTACGATTCTCTTCCTATTTCACTACCTACTTTTTCTGTCCTAACCAGTCTCTAAGTATTGAGTTCCTCAGGAGGGGGCCTGGGTCATCTTCTGACACATTTCTCCTAAACAATCTCACTTATTTTCATAATGTAAAATATTGCCTGTATGAGGACAACTCCCAGGTTTATACCTCATCTGAAATCTTTCCTCTGAATCTACTTTTACATATCTAGCTGCTCTCTTGACGTTCACTAGGATGTCACACAGACATCTCAGATTTAACATGTTTAAAGTGGAGCTCTTCATTTTTCTGCTCAAACCCTAGTTTTCCCCATTTCCGTCAACCAAAGGCGAAAGCTAAGTGCTGTCATAGTGAGCTCCACGTTCCACACCCATGAATTCCATCAGTTATATATCAGAGTATCACTTGAATTAATATGTTCTCCGTTTCCTCTGGTTCAAGCCACCATGGTCTCTGGCCTGGATTTGTGTAAAACCTTCCTATCTGGGCTCCCTAGCCCTGTTTTTATTCCTGACCAATCCATGCTTCACCCAGCAGCAAGTGTGACTCTTAAAAATTAAAATCAGGCCACAGCACTGCCCTGCCTAAAACCCCTCAGTGGCTTTCCATTCTACTAAATAAAACCCAAACTTCCTCCTCTGAATCTGGCTCAGCTTACTGCTTTACCTTCATCTTGGGCTATTCTCTACCTTGTTCTTTTTTTTTTTTTTTGAGATAGGGTCTCATTCTTTCGCCCAGGCTGGAATGCAGTGGCAATCATAGCTCACTGTAACCTTGAACTCCTGGGCTCAAGTGATCCTCCTGCCTCAGCCTCCTGAGTAGCTAGGACTACAGGTGCATGCCGCCATGCCTGGCTGATTTTTTTAACTTTTTGTAGAGATGGGGTCTCACTGTGTTGCCCAGGTTAGTCTTGAACTCCTGGCCTCAGGCAGTCCTCCTGCCTCAGCGTCCCAAAATGCTGGGATTACAGGTGTGAGCCATCACATCTGGCCACTACCTTATTCTTTTGGATCAGTCAACCTTTGGCACCCCAAGCTTGCTCTTAGCAGATGGTACATGTACTTTCTTCTCCCACTAGAGAATATGTATGTGTATGTGTATTAATATAAGAGAAGTGATGTCTTACTATGTTGCCCAGGCTGGTCTCAAACTCCTGGGCTCAGGCAGTTCTCCTGCTTCTGCCTCCCAAGTAGCTAGGATTATAGACATGTGCCATTGTGCTCAGCTTCAGAATATTCTTTTATGACTAAGCCCTTTTCATCCTTCAGATCTCAGTTTAGATGTCCGCTGACCACCCTGTCTAAAGTAGTTCTCTCTGTCTTAGCACTTTACGTACATTAGAATGTTTATCACAAGCCATTCATCAACTTATTTACTTGTTTGTGGTCTGTCTCCACCCTAGAATGTAAATTCTGTGAGGGCATGGACCGCATTTATGCTCTCTTCCCTCTGCTTAGAGTGCCCAGCACACGGGAGGTGCAGAATAAATGTTTGTTAAATGAGCAAGTGATCTAATTACTGACCTTCTCTGCTCTGATGCACAGTCTGCCCAGAAAATGCAGAAAACTGGGCTGGATGGAGTGCCTCTGCATTCAGGTTTCCATATTAACACATTAACTGCCTTATGACTTGTATTTAACTCATGCTAGTTTTGAGCCCAGGGCCTCATGAAGCAAATCTGGGCAAAACCCTGCAGTTGGTTCACGAAAATATTACTTGTTGATGTTCTTATTGTTACAATTAATATTGACAAATTAATTCTGAAAATGTGGCTTAAATGAATAGAAGTCAATAAATTTTGATTTTCACTAAATTTTTCATTAAATTAGAAAGGATTGTTTTGTTTTTGAAGTTTTTATTCTATTTTCCTAATAAAACACTGTGGCCCCAAGGAAGAAATTTTTTTTCTAGCGTGGCAGTCAATGTGTTAAGCAGGGTCCCTGGAGACACCTGGTAAATCCACTTCCTGGCTCTGTGTCTAGGTTCATGTGTCTGACCTTCCAAACCTCTACTCGCTAAAGTCCTGGCTGCTAGTTTTGTCTTTCCCCTCTTTCCTTTTCCTTTCCCTTTTCCTTTTCAACAGAATCTCGCTTTGTTGCCCCGGGTAGAGTGCAGTGCTATCTTCATAGCTCACTGCAACTTCAAACTCCTGGGCTCAAGCAATCCTCCCACCTTGGCCTCCCACAGTGCTGGGATTACAGGTGTGAGCCACCGTACCTGGCCTTTTCCCCTCCTTTCCTTTCCCCCTCCTTTCATTTTACACACAGCTACCAGAATGTTCTTTTTCTAACACATCTTATTGTTATCCTTATCCTCTTTCATCCATTTATTTATTCATTGTTGTTGGTTGTCTATTGTGTGCCAAGAACCATGCTGAACTCTGAGAAAATAGTGCCAAGTGAAGCAAACAAAAATCCCTGCTTTGATAGGACTATCCACTGTCATGGAAGAAGCCTCCTGAGGCAGGAACCACACAGAGCTGTAATAAATATCATGCATCGGGGGCTTACTTGTCCCAAGCACTGTTTTATGTGCTTTATACATATAAATTCACACAGTCCTCACGGAAACCTTATTAATAGAGGCATTAGACAGGCGCCCCAAATCACAGCTGATAGCTGGCAGAGGGAGTGAATCCTCCACCGCTACATGTGCCTCTGTGGGCACAAACTGATGAGAGCTTTAAAAGAAAAGTTTAGGGTTCTGGAAAGAGTTTGACTGGGGAACCTAATTTTGTTTGGGATGAAATGAGTCACTGAATCATAGTGAGGGTCTCTGTGCCTTTCACAGAGCTTCCACCAGTGCCGAGTCGGCATGGAGCATCTGTCGTCCGTGGGAGCCACTATGAGGAGGGCCCCAGGAAGAATTTGCCATTTTCGATGGGAAATAAGTGGCGGTTACTAATCATGATGACTTTGTACTTTGGATCTGGATTTGCTGCACCTTCTTTATAGTAAGACGCCAACTGCTCGAGAAGTAAAGACGTTTTAATTCATCTACTCAGCAGATATGAAGAGCATTTTAAGGGGTGCAATCTCTTTGAAAAACGGATTAAACTCTTGAACTCATAGCATACTAGATATGTTTGTACATAAAACTTAAGATATGAAACAAACACCACAGTGAGCTGAAGAACGCCCCAGGCAGGGAGAACATGGTGCTGGAAGTTTCTCAGCTGGGAAAGTGCTTGGCCCAGCGGAGGGCTGAAAGTGGGCTGTGTGATCTCTGTGCAGCAAGCAGAGGAGGGAAGGCGACAGGAGAGGGGGGCTGGCCTGCATGGAGGCTTCCCTCAGGGATCTCGATCTGTCACCCAGGCTGCAGTGCAGTGGTGCGATCACATCTCACTGCGGCCTCCAACTCCTGGGCTCAAGCCTCAGCTTCCCAAGTAGCTGGGACTACAGGTGTGTGCCACCACTCCTGGCCAATTTTTCTTTTTTTTTTTTCATTTTTTTTAGAGATGAGGCCTTGCTATGTTGCTCAGGCTGGTCTCGAACTCTTGGCCTCAAGTGATCCTCCTGCCTCGGCCTCCCAAAGTGCCGGGATTACAGGCGTGAGCCACTGTGCCTGGCCAACTGCCTACCTCAAACGTCACTTGGATGTCTTAACCAAGATTCATATTGAACACGTCCACACTGAACTCTAGATAACCCGCCAGCCTACCCACCCAGAAACCCCAGGCTCTGAGCTCCTTCCCTCCTCCCACCTCCCCTGCTCAACCCACGTCCTGTCTGCTGCCAAGTCCACGCTCCTCTACACAGTGACCACCGCTCTGGCCCAGCCTCCCTCTTGCCTGGACCCTGCGCTGACGGTTCTTCCTGCCCTTCACGCCCCTCCCATGTCCTCTTCACGCAGCTCGGCTGAGCGTCACTGACGGGAAGGGGGCCCCCTTCACATTCCCAACTTTCCGGCCAAGGCCTTCGGTCCTGAACACTTCCCAATTCCTCACATTTCGAAGACTGTCGTGTGCCTGTTCCCTGTCATTCAGCGACCCGACAAACTCCCTTTATACTTAAAGAACTGATGGAAGTGGCTCCATCAGTTCTGGCGATGTCCTGCCAGACCCTCCGCCTTCTTTGTGCTACTGTGGTGCCTAAAATCTCGCCTCTTTCCAGCACCCTACACTTCGGCCATGTTTGCATAGTGCTCGTTTTGCTAAGCAGTTGTGTCCTGTCTCTGCTAACTGCCTTTATGTGGGCAATCATTTCCTAAAATGCTACTCCCTCCGTCTGTCTGGGGAGCTTCCATGTGTTTTTCAGGCTTAGCTCTGCCATTACTGCTTCGCTTGTTCACTGGGTACGTACCGGACACCAGCATCGGGCACCGAGCTGGAGTTACCCTAATGCTGCTCACAGCCCCCTAAGGGAGGAGAGACTTGAGAATGGTGCGACAACATCACACTGATGGGGTGGCAGGGTGGTCCTGGGCACTGGGGCAGGCTCTGCAGGAGCATTTACACTGGGGACAGCTGGGGGCAAGTGTTCCAGGCAGATAGAAAAGCAAAATGGAAGCGTTGAGAAAAACACGTAGGCCTTCAAAGTGTCCTTTGCTGACAGGAGAGGGGCCCTCTTCGTGGGGCAGATCTTGGGTGGAGTGTGGAGATAAAACGTTTGTGGACGTTTGGATGTCTCCATGGAGATGCTCGGTGGGTGGCTGCAGACACAGCCCTGCAGCTGAGGAGAGAGGGCTCGTCTGGGGATGGGCTTGTGATTGTTGGCAACTCGGGCACAGGAGGGACGAGTGCGTGTGGCGGGGGGTGTGCCGTGGGCAGAGGGGAAGGCCGAGGGTAGAGCCTGGAGCTCTGGTGTTTACAGGATGACAGAGGAGCTGGGCCCAGGGGAGGCCGAGGGGCCGGCAGAGGAAGGGTGTCGGTTTCCTGAGTTCTCTGCTCGAAGGATGGAGACCCAGCATTTTGTCTCTGTCTTCCCCACTCTTGAGGTTCCCTTTGCTTCTCTCGGAGTGAGCAGGGATCTTCCTGCCGGAGTCTGCCAGTCGGCCCTGAGGGGGCGGGTGCAGTATGGAGCCTTTCCAGTGCCTTCTGAAGGGAGCTGGTGTGCGGCTTTGGTTGTTTGTGGACGGCGTGCTCTGGGGGCTTTCTCTTCCCAAACACAGGTTTTTGTTACAGGAAGTGAGGGGGGTCACAGACACCTGTCTCTCCCTCCAGAACAATCCAGGCACCACTGTTGAGCCCAAGGCAGAGCCGGAGCTGTCAGTCTGAGGGGCTGCTGTGGGGTGACCAGGCCAGAAGTCTGGAGGAGGCGGGTGGTGGGCGGCTGTCCCGGAAGAAGTGAGTGCAACTGGGCCCGGCATCCCCCTGCCCTGGTGTTTCTTGCAGCTGGACCAGATCTGCATTTCTTTTGACGAAGGCAAAACCACGATGAACTTCATTGAAGCGGCGTTGCTGATCCAGGGCTCGGCCTGCGTCTACAGTAAGAAGGTGGGCCCCGCCTCTGACCTGCCTCGCCGGCACCTCGGGCCTCACCCCTGATGTCTTGACAACTCTTAACACCAAAGAACAATTTTTGACTTACAGTGGTGTGGCCAGGCAGAGAGGGTCTCGTGTGCTGGTGGGCTCTGTTGTCCCAACGGACGACACCTGGTGCGCACCCTTGGCAACAGCCCGGGGTGGCACATACACATCCCGCCCTTCCTCTGCCCCTCCTTGTGAGTGCTTCATTGTCAGCACCTCGGAAACCCCCAGCCCCCACCCTAGTGGTGGGACCCCTGTTCTGTGGAGGTGTGGGCAAGAAGCAAGTGGAAGGAAGGGGTCTGTCAGGAGCGTGGTGGCTGTCAGAGACTCGCAGGGGCTCCTGTAGATGGGGTGGCACCGGCCAGGACTTGGTGGGGAGGAGCTCTCGTGGGGGTGCTGGCAGGAGCGTGGGCAGAGGAGCAGCAGCGACGCAGGCCCTGGTGGTGCGGGCACTGGGCATGGGAGGCCTGGTCTGCGGGGCCTGATGGCCCAGGGCTGTGGGGCCTGCCTTGGGCACCACGCTGCCGTCAGCGTCAGGTCGAGAGGGCCACGCTCGCCGCTGTGTGGAGTGCAGGGGGCAGAGGGGACAAGGAGGTAGTCTCCGCTGGTAGAGTAATTCTCGTGAGACTACCAGTTTGATTTGGGAATTATTTTTGGTGGCAAAATTGGCAGGACCTGTTCTGGAGGCTGGGAAGCTTCACAGCGAACAGCAACGTCTGGTTGGGAAGCTTTGGGGGAGGGTTGTGGGCCCCGGCGGGCGGACCCCTCCTTTCCGTGCCCTCACTGCCTGCCCTGGTCACCAGGTGGAGTACCTCTACTCACTCGTCTACCAGGCTCTCGACTTCATCTCTGGCAAGAGGTGAGTGCTGGAGCGGGAGCTGGGGCCGAGGCCGTCCTCGCGGCTCCGCCTGCGCGCAGCCTCCCAGGATGCCCACGGGACGCTCTTCTCTCAGGCGGGCCAAGCAGCTCTCTGCGGTGCAGGAAGACAGGGCCAATGGGGATGCCAGCTCAGGGGCTTCCCTGGAGGCAGAGGATGAGGTGAGGTTTCTTGGGCGTTGGCCCTGCCCCTGTGTGCTTGCCTGGGCCCCACCCCGTGAGCTCCCCTGCCTCCCCACAGTTCCTGTCGCTAGATGACTTCCCCGACTCCCGGGCCAACGTGGATCTGAAGAATGACCAGGCACCCAGTGTGAGTGTCCCAGCCCCTTCAGCTTGGGGTGGGGTTGGCGCTTTCCCTGGTAGGTGTCGGAAGGTGGTGTTGCCCCGTGTGGGTTTCCCTCCTGGAGTCCAAGGGATGTGCCCTCACCCGCCCTTGGCCTCCACGCAGGAGGTCCTCACCGTCCCCCTCCTGCCCATGGCCCTGGTGGCCCCTGATGAAATGGAGAAGAACAACTTCCCCCTGTACAGGTAGGGCTTGAGCCCGGCAAGGGAGGGGAGGCCTCCCTGGGGAGGGTCTCTACAGTGGGCATGTTTTCGCCAGCACAGCCGTCAGGGCGAGGTCTTGGCCAGTCGGAAGGATTTCAGGATGAATACGTGCACCCCCCACCCCAGAGGGGCCTTCATGTTGGAGCCGGTGGGCACGTCCTCTGTGGAGCCCGTGGGTATGTCTCCCATGCCAAGGAGCCAGCAGGGTGAGGGCGTGGATGCAGGGCTTGGTGGGGAGGAGGGAGGAGAGGGTCTTCTGCAGGGCTCTGTAGGGTGCCCCGTGTTCGCTGGCTCTGGTCTTGGGGGTTCCCTCTTCCCAGGTGCCCACTCTGCTCTGTGGAGGTCGTAGGTTGGCTGGGACTTGTCCCCCTCACCGGTTCTCGCTGTGCCTTGATTATTTGTTGACGAAGTCACAGCTGGCTTCAGTACCAGGGCCTGACGCCCGGCAGGGCCCCGCTCTCTCCAGCCAGCTCAAGGCTGAGGACCTGCTGGGTCTGCCCTCGTGCTGGCCCCTTGGAGGGGCTCTTGAGACAGCAGGTGGGAACCATCTGGGGAGGGGCTGGCCTGACCCTAATCCCTGTCTCTCCCAGATGCCGAGAGGGCTGAGGAGCAGCTGATGGAAGTGTCTGCGTGCGGGAGTCCTGTTCCTATGCTCGGCTTCTCCCACGAGCCCGGTGAGAGCTCCCTGGCGGGCCTGGCTGTAAGGGCACTGGGGAGGTCAAGCTCAGTGGACGGGGCTGCTCTCAGCTACCCCAGCCTGCCCGCCTGCTTGCTCCCCCGCAGCCGGTGGTGTGGGGACAGGGAGCAGCTGCACTCAGGCCCTGGCCTCGGCTGAGCCTCCGTCTTGCTTCAGTGTCTGTCCTCTGACCACCCTCCCGGGCCTCCTCTCTGGGCAGACATAGATGGCAGCATTGAAAGAGGAGCATTTGCAAAGAAACAGAATGAACCAGGCAGAGCACACTAGTGTGATAAAAGGAGTGTGCGGCGCCCCACTGAGTTCTCTGGGTTCGGAGGGAGAGGCCTGTCAGGTCCCCTCGGTGTCGGCCCTGCTGCCATCTGGTCCTCAGGCTCCTCGGGGCTGACCAGGCTCTTGCTTCCTGCCCAGGCACCTCGCCAGAAGGCCCGATGCCCAGTGGCAGGGGTGAGGACGAGGACGCAGAGGAGGCGGGAGAGCTCCCTGAGGCCACAGCCCCCCAGGCCCCCCTGGAGCCCGAGGAGCCCAGGAGCTTACAGCAGGTGGGGCCCACACCGAGGCCTGCAGAGACCGAGCTGTCAGCTGGGCGAGCCCTGGCTCTGGGCAGAGTCACCTTACACAGGAGGACAGTGCTGTGGCCTGTTGGTCTTTGCCCAGAAGTCAGACTGTCCTGCAGCCAACCCTAGGCCCAGCCCCGCAGCCAGCGCTTTTGGCAGCAGCGTCTGTGTCCCTCTCTCCTCAGAGCAGAGCTGCCGCTGCTCAGGGGAGTGCTGGCCTTCGAGGGTCTGCGCCCCGTGGAGCGCGTGGCTACCTGGGCGGGGAGCTGGTCTCCCAGGCTGCCTCTTCTGGGGTCAGGCTGGTAGGAGGGGTGGGTCTGGGGGCCTTTGCTGCCTCACTCAACCCCCAAGGGTCAACTCTGTCCAAACTAGAGCTAGGAAATCCTTCCTTTTATTTATTAAAAAATACCCTACCTGATGTATACAGGAGAAAATGTTAACATTTCTTAATTCTGGTTGGTAAATAACATGAATGTTTGCCATTCTACTTTTCTCTCATATTTTTAAAGGAAAAAAAGTACTCCCATGACTATTAATTTGTATGTTTGTTCCATTTGAACTGCTGCCCCCAAGAACTCCCTGCAGGGCTCTTGACACTGACCCCAGGGCAGAGCTGCTGGGCTGCCCAGAGCCTTGGGTGGAGAAGGGGGAGGAAGGGGACCGTGGGCTGTTTCTTTGCAGAGCGCTGCCCTGCCCAGGAGGTACCTGCTGCGCGAGCGAGGGGGGGCCCCAGAGCCTGTGTCCCGGCTGAAGGTAGGAGTGCTGGGGCCCTGCACCCCCTGGTGGGGAGGGGACAGCAGACACGGGGACCTCGCTCTCTGCCCCTCATGCCCCCGTTCCTGCTGGCCTTCGGTGGTCCTAGCCTGTGGCCCTTCACACTTGCAAGGCATCTTCTTCCTCCCAGGATTTAAAGTCCCCCCTCCCCCAGCTCCCTTCCTCGACTGTCATCCTCTGTGACCCTGCATTGAATGTGCTTGCCCCCCCTGGGCTGTCACCGACTGCACTTGGTGTCTGGGCTTTGTGAGGGGAGGGTGTGCACCCCACATCCTCCCACATCGCTTGTCCCCTCTCAGGAGACCCCAGACCCCTGGCAGAGCCTGGACCCTTTTGACTCCCTGGACTCTAAACCCTTCAAGAAAGGTAATTGGGTGGGGGGCACCTCCACTCAGGTGCCCGTGGCTGGGTTTGCTAGGTTTGGGGTAGGCAGGTGGGCTCTGTGTCCTGACACACAGCAACACTGAGACTCCATCCCTGTTTGCCCCCAGGTAGGCCTTACTCTGTGCCCCCCTGTGTGGAGGCGGCTCCAGGACAGAAGCGGAAGAGGAAGGGGGCTGCCAAGCTGCAGGACTTCCACCAGTGGTACCTGGCTGCCTGTGAGTGCAGGTGGTGGGCTGTGGGGCACCCCAGACCCCTGGGAGCTAGGGCTGGGCCAGGGCCAGTGGAAGAGGATTGGCACCCTTTTCCCCAGTGCTGTGAGCAGCCCTCGGCCTGTGGGCAGGTCAGGGGCCCTGGCTCGGTTCCTGCTGACCGAGTTCTCTCACAGATGCTGACCATGCTGACCGCAGGAGGCCCCGGCAAAAGGGCCCATCCTTTGCAGGTGAGCTAAGGCCCTATGTGCACTTTTCTCAGGGAAGACAGTCTTACTCTGCCTTCCCCGCTCCCAACCCCCTGCCTGGGGTCACCTGGGGCTGTGGGTAGACTGGCGTGGACCTGGGCAGGGCAGGGGAGCTCTCACGAGGTCTTTGCAGACATGGAGGTCCTGTACTGGGAGCATGTTCGGGAGCAGCTGAAAACCCTCCGGAAGCTGCAGAGGAGGGAGGCAAGTACCGATCACTAGGCTGTGGCGTGGGTCCACATGGGGCCCCTGATGGGAGAGGGCAGTGCCCTTCACAGATGTTCTCTCTGGACAGATGGGCAAGCAGTGGCTGCCAAGGGTCGAGGAGGGGCTGTGGCCTTCAGAGGAAGACCGCCTGGAGGATTCCCTAGAGGACCTGGGGGCAGCAGGTGGGTGCCTGCTGGGGGGCTGGGCTGGGGGTCCAGCACCTGCAGCCCATGACTGGCTCCCTGTGGGTGTCTTTCCTGCCTCTTAGCAGATGACTTTCTAGAGCCGGAGGAGTGCGTGGAGCCTGAAGGGGCAAACCCCAGGGAGTCTGCTGCCCTGGGTAGGTCTGAGGGTGGGCAGCTGCCAGGGAGTGCTGAGGGGCCGCTGAGGCTGGGAGGGAGGGGGGAGTGGCCCCACAGCTGCAGCAGCTCACAGCTGCTCCTGCCCCAGATGCAGAGGCCATGCCGGCGTCCCTGAGCTACGAGGAGCTGGTTCGAAGGAATGTGGTAAGCCTGGGTCAGAGTGGGCGGGTAGTTGGGTGAGGGGGGCCCCAAGACCCTGCACAGAAGGCAGCAGCTCCCACTGGTCCTCCCCTAGGAGCTATTCATCGCCACCTCCCAGAAGTTTGTGCAGGAGACAGAGCTGAGCCAGCGTGTCAGGGAGTGGGAGGACACCGTCCGGCCCCTGCTCCAGGAGCAGGTGAGGTAGCACTGCCGAGAGCTGGAGCCTCCTGCTGCCTGCCTCGGGCTTGTCCGGGGCCTGCCCGCAGCCAACCTGCCCCTCCCCTGTGCAGGAGCAGCACCTGCCCTTTGACATCCACACCTACGGGGACCAGGTGGTCTCTCAGTTCCCACAGCTCAACGAGTGGTGTCCCTTTGCAAAGCTGGTGGCCGGCCAGCCTGCCTTCGAGGTGTGTCGCTCCATGCTGGCCTCCTTGCAGCTGGTGAGTGGCCTGGGATACGTGGGAGGGGACCAGTTCCCAGACCCCTCTGATGCTGTGCCCCTGCAGGCCAACGACTACACGGTGGAGATCGCCCAGCAGCCGGGGCTGGAGACAGCCGTGGACACCATGTCCCTGAGACTGCTCACGCACCAGCGAGCCCACAGGCGTTTCCAGACCTATGCTGCCCCCTCCATGGCCCAGCCCTGAGTGGGGAATACCAAGGCGGGTGGGGGTGGGGAGCCCCATCCCCACGTGTCCCGAGCTGTGCCTTTGGCTCACTCGTGTTGCTTCCTGGCTGGCCCAGCCTAATAAAGTGGTGTTGCCATCCCACATACCCCTAAAAAACCCCCTTATACCTGCTCTGTGTAAAGACAGTGCTGCTTGGCCTCCGTGGGCTGCTGGTACAGACACACACACAGATGAAAACGCACCCCATTTAATGACAGGCTGTGGCAGCTCATGATAGGACGCTGCGGAAGGCAGCCATGTGCCGCTGCACACTGTCTACGATCTGCTCGGCTGACCTGCCCCGGCCATAGTAGTCAGTGAAGAGGCCATCGGGGTTGAGCAGGTAGATGGCGATGGAGTGGTCCACAATGTAGTCTTGGTCCTCGTCCTTGGGGCCTGCACTGTAGTATACGCGGTAGCTGCGGCTAGCCTGGGCAACCTGTTCAGTGGAGCCTGTCAGACCCAGCAGCCTCGGGTGGAAGTCCTGCACGTATCGGGCCATGGCGGCAACGTCGTCCCGCTCGGGGTCCACGGTGATGAAGACAGGCTGCACGGGAGGCAGGCCCGGCTTGGCTTCCAGCTGCTGCACTACCTGCACCAGCTTCTCCAGCTCATCCGGGCAGATGTCGGGGCAGTGAGTGAAGCCAAAGTACATCAGCACCCACTGGCCCCGGAAGTCAGCCTTGCAGCGAGCCCGGCCTTGGTGGTCCAGCAGGCTGAAGTCACCCTGGCCCACAGCCGCCTGGCGCAGGGCCTCTGTTCGCCGTTGCTGCTGCCGCTGCTCCTTTTCTGCCCTTATAGCCAGCCAGGCCCCACCCAGTCCAGCCCCAAAGAGGGCTGTGACCAGAAGCCTGGTTCGTAGCCCAGGGCCCTGGGGCTGGCCCTGCCCACTGGTCTCGGCAGGGCCCTGCCTCCATGAGAGCCAGGACTTCAAATGCAGGGCCTGGCCTCCTGGGGTCCGAGGGAGGACGCGGGACTTAAGCTGAGAGAGCCCATGCCAAGCCTTGGGCCCCCGAGCCAGTAGCAGCATGGACCTGATGTACCTGGAAAAGAGCAAAGGTGTCAGGAGCCAGAGGGGAGGGGACAGGAAGGTGCTTGGGCTGCTCCAGTAACTGGAGACAAACCTCACCCTCAGGCTCGCCACCTGTCTGCAACTGTTCACCTGAGCTCAGAACTGCTCCACCCCTGAAACCTCTAAACTGCAGCTTAGGAGGCACCAGACACCCACACCCGGCCAACTCCATGCCTGTCACTCTTGTCCTTTAACCTGGGAACTTGAGCCTGTCTTACCCCAGCCTGTCCTGCACCTGGGCAGCCGAGCCTCTTACTACATGAAAGCATTCCAAGTGCATGCCTTGCCTGGATTCCTGGGCGTGCGTATGTATCTGCAATAAACCCATTTCTTCAAAGGAGATGGGTAACTGGTTTGCAGCCCCCGAAGAGTAACTGACTCCTCCAGCCCTTTCCTGACACCTCGGGCCACTTCAACTTCGGCTCTCTGGCCGCTCCCTACCCACCCAAGTTCAGCAGAGAACCAGGGCCACCTATCCACGAGCTCGAACTCTGCCCCTTTCCTGGCAAAGATGTAAGATGCTTCCACTCCCCACAAAACCCCACCCTCTTCACATCCTGGTTTCCCAACAGCACCAATCTGGGCTCACTGCGCACACCCTGGCCTTGCCTGATGACCTCCGTGCCTTTCCCACAGGGGCCCCGGGAAGTTTGCCACCTGCAGCTCCCAGGACTCCCCCTCACCTCAGAGAACCCTCCCGAGGGCTCCTAAATGGTGGCCTCCGCCCCCAGGCCGGACGGTTCCGGGCTGCGGCTGTGCCGTCTGACCTCCGGCGCGTCGCTCCCCCCTTGGACCATTTCCAGACCACCTTGTGGTCAGACAGGTCTCTGAGGACCGCCCGAAGCGACGCACGAGACGTGAGCACCTTACAACCATGCTCGCCGCCGAAGACAACTCGTGCATGCTTCGGGACACCTCCCTTCCCGGCGTCTCCCCAGACTCGACTCTCCCTCCGGCGCGCCCGGTGAGAATGCGCCGCTGCCGGCCCCGCAGAGCCGAGCGCGTCCCAGGCGCGGGCTGTCCCCTCCCCTCCGACCCCGGGGTCCGCACCTCGCGGGGGGGGCCGCGAGTCCGAGCAGCTCGCCCCGGAAGCAGCACCGGCCGCCCCGCCTCGCTCGCGCTGCATGCCGGGACCCCGCGGGATCGCGCCGCCGCCACGGCGCATGCGTTAACGGCGCCGCGCACGCGCGAAGGAAGCTGGGCCTTCCGGAGGTCACGTGTCCAGCGAGGCCGCCCCGCTTTCGCCCCCGCGCCCTCCCGCCCGCTGCCGCGTGCGGCTTCCCGGGCCCCCGGCGCGCCAGGCACGGACACGGCTTTGCGGCTGTAGAGCTTTATTGCTGCGCGCCGGTCGGCGGCAGGACGAGCTCGGCGTAGGGCGAGGGGGCGGCGAAGGGCGCACGGTCTGAGAGCACGAGCGCCTCCTGCAGGGCCAGGCGCTGCGGTCCGCTGAGCGGGGGGCCGTCCCGGTGAACGCGGAGCCAGGGCGTCCCTGAGGGGCGGCGGAGGGGCGGTCAGCGGGCAGGCGGGGGCGGGGCGAGGGAGGCCGGGGCAGGCGGGGGCGGCGCTCACCGCGGCGCAGCCTCTGGCCCACGTCGACCAGCAGCTCGGCGCCCACCCCCAGGCGGAGCGGATCCCCCGCGCGGCTGCGTCCCGCTCCGAGCTCGTGCAGCACGAGAGCCAGCGGCATCGCATGGATCAGCTCCACCGTGCCTGCGCGGAGAGGGCGTTAGGCGGGCGGGGGCGGGGGAAGGAAGGGCGGGGAGGGCTCCTTCGACGCTCACCGTCCGCAGGTGAAAGCAGTTCCTCTTGCTCCTGGGCGCGGGGCAGCAGCTGCCGGCGCTGCGCGGGGCTCCCGGAGCACAGCGCTCGCGCCAGGCCCGGGTCTACGCCCTGCCCCGCAAGCATCTGCTCGAAGCGGCCCCGGGCCGAGCCGTCGTCCAGCGCTGCGGCCACCCGCGCGGCGCCCTCGGCCTGGGTCTCGGCCTGTCCGTTCAGCCACAGCAGGGCGCCCCCTACCGGCGGGGCAGGGCTTAGGCTTAACCTCGGGGGGCGGCCTCGCCGGAAGCCCTCCGCTGTCGCCGCCCTCCCTGCCCCTCACCGAGCTTGGTGACCAGGTCCCGGAGGTCCGACGGCCCTGCACCATCCATGCACAGCAGCGCCTCCTCCACCTCTAAGGTGTGGCCCACGTTGTGGCCCAGGGGCTTGTCCATGGCCGTCAGGGCTGCGGCCACCCGAAGCCCCAGGCCCGCGCCCACGCCAACCTGCGGAGTAGTGGTTCAGTGCAGAGCCCGCCCTGCGCCATCACACGCTCCAGCCTCTGCTGCACCCTGGGTTGCAGCCCCCAGGACGAGGGCAGGGAAGGCTTGGGGTGCGGACCGGGGCGAGCGCTGTGCCAGACTTCAGCGCTGGGGGCCAGGAGGACCTTGTGCCTGGCCGCGGGTGGGCGTCCCAGGCCAGAGGCCGGGTCTCTGGGGGTTGGGTGTGACGGAGGGAGGGACTGTTGGCTGGGAGGGTGGGTCCCGGCAGAAGCGGGGCGGGACGCCGAAAGCAGGATGGCGAGGCGAGGTGGGGGTGAGTAGAGGGGTGAGGGCCGGTCAGGTCCACATTAAGAGGCCCAGCCCCGCAGAGAGGCCATAGACACGGAGGGGCCACAGGCTCCAGCAGGCAGGGTGTTCACCAGCGCTCTCGCCAGCTCCCGGGCCTGCTCCTGGTTGGGGAAGACGGCAGCCTCTCCGAACTTAACGTCCACCACCAGAGCGGACAGTCCCTCCACGACCTTCTTACTGAGGATGGAGGCTGTCGGGGAGACAGAAGGGGACAATGAAGGGCCAAAAGTCTCCCTGGGAGACTTGGGAGATGCCAACCCTAGGGGCAGGAGGGGTCATGGGCCCCGGGCATTGAGGGCCAAATCCTCTGGGATGGGGTGGCCACACCTAGTGGGTTATGAGTCAGGTCACCCCTATGATGAGGGGACACTGTGATTGGGGGAGGTCCCACAGTCAGGTCACCCCTAATGAAAGGACCCTGGCTGTGAGGTCAGAAGTCAGGGCTCTGTAACCTGCAGCAGCTGGCCCCTGGAGTCGGGTCATGTCACCTGTGATGAGTGGCAGGCTGTCCACGGTGGCTGTCACATCTCTGGCTGCATACAGGATTCCATCCCCAGGAACCAGCTTCTTACTCTGCCCCACGATACAGCAGCCCACTTGCTCCAGCAGCACCTGCATCTGTCAGACAGCCCCCAGCCCCAGTGACCCAGATCAATAAACCCATCACAAGACACATCAGCAGCCTTGACAAAGATCCAAGAAGACCATGACCAGTGACCTGTGAATGATTGTGATAAATCCTCAGCAATGACTCTGACCTTTGTCTTGTCAAGATTCTATCACTGTTCTATGGCCCCTTCATGATCAGTGGCCCATCAGTGGTTTTGAACAAGTCCTCATTAGTGATTCTGATCAAAGTTCCACTGATGATTTGAGCAAAGTCCAATGACTATCAACAGCCCATGAATAACTCTGATCAATGTCCTCATTAGTGATCTTAATCTATCAGTGATTCTGGCCAAGGTCTCCATCGGCTGAGGTCAACAGCCAGTGGTGGTCTCGTACCTGCTCTGGGCTCTGGATGACGTTGAATCCAGGGACAGACTCCAGCTTATCCAAGGTGCCCCCTGTGTGTGCCAGGCCACGTCCACTGATCATGGGCACCTGGTGGGCAGAGATGCTGAGTACACCTGCACAGTACCTCACCCTCACCTCCCCTGGGTAGGACTTATGCTGGACTTAAACAGTGTTTAAGCAGTTTTAGTGGGTGCCCAGCTGGTGGAAAGGCAATGAAAATGAAATTTTCCTGGTTGAGGGCCTGGTGTCCATTGGGGAGGAGGTTGGTACCCAGCCCTGGGGACACAAGACTAGGGGACAGGGAGAATGGTACTCTGCTTTTCCCTGGGAGTGCTGTCTGGGGCCCTGAGGTGGAAGAGTCGGGGGTCTGCATTCTGCTGGTAGAACTTGGTTCTGTTCCAAGGGGCCTAGTCTGGGGCCTAAGGGGGCCCAAGTTCTATGGGGAGGATGGTGAGAAGCTTGGGTCCTGTCTTTGAGGGCTCTGTCTGGGCCAGGCTTGGGGTTGGGAGCTGCCTGTGGATGGCTTGGTTGCTGGCTCTCTGGGGTCAGAGGTTCTGGTCTGGAAAGGAGGTGGTCTCTAACCTTGCAGCCGCATGCAGCCAGGGCAGGAGCCAGGACTAGGCTGACCTTGTCCCCCACACCCCCTGTGGAATGTTTGTCCACCAGCTGCCGGTGCCAGGCCTTTGGCCACTCCAGCTGCTGTCCAGACTCGGCCAGTGCCTGCGTCAGTGCCGAGGTCTCCTCCAGATCCATGCCCTGAAGTCGGATGGCCATGAGCATGGCCCCTGGGTGTGAAGTACGATGATGAGGACAGCGTCCCCAAAGCAATGGGGTATTCCCAGGGACAGACAGTCTCTGGGAGCTGACCTCCCGGATCGAGGTCAGGGTCAGAAGGGCCCAGCCCTCCCCACACACCGATCTGTGCGCCCTGCGCGCGCCCGTTGACCACAGCGTCCACGAAGCCTCTGATGTCCGCCTCGCTCAGGCGGCCTCCATCTCGCTTTATGCGGATCAGCTCCGGAAGCTGCTTGGGCTCCGACCGGGTGTCAGGAAGTCCCCGGCTCCCTTCCCCCGAGAGGTCACCAAGCGCTACTGGGGCGGGTGGGACCTGGGCTCCTGGGGTCGCTGGGGCTGCCATAGCTCCGGGCCTGCGGGGATGGCAGACACAGCTGGAACCTGCTGCTGCTCGTGTCCTTGTCCCTGCGGCCACACGCTCCTGTCCCCACCCTGTTCCTACGTGTCTTTCTGGTGCCTACCCTCTGTCCCTCGTATCTGTCGCCGTGTCCGTTTCTTTCTCTGTGGTTCCCACTTCCCGACCTCACCGCTTGCACCGGCCCATACCTGTTAGGTACCGCAGCCCTTGCCCGCTCTGCTTCGGTTCCGCCCTGCCTCGCCCGCGGCCACGGGGTCAGGACCCCAGCGCACCCGTCCCTTGCCTGGGGGCAGGAGCAGGTCCGCGGTGGTCGATAGCGGCCCACGGACAGCGGGCGGGTGGGGCCGTTCCCTTAGTTAAGTGGGGCTCGCCAAGCGCCGCCTGGAGGAAGTCCTGCTGGCGACGCCCCGGCCACTCCCCGAAGTGGCTGGGGGGTGCAGGACTTCCTCCAAAGTGGGGGGGTGCAGGACTTCCTCCAAAGTGGGAGGGGTGCAGGACTTCCTCCAAAGTGGGAGGGGTGCAGGACTTTCTCCAAAGTGGGGGGGTGCAGGACTTCCTCCAAAGTGGGAGGGGTGCAGGACTTTCTCCAAAGTGGGAGGGGTGCAGGACTTTCTCCAAAGTGGGGGGGTGCAGGACTTCCTCCAAAGTGGGAGGGGTGCAGGACTTTCTCCAAAGTGGGG